GTACCTTAGGAACCCACTTCCATAACGTGACGATGATAGGTGCAGTTAATTTGTTATTGAGAAAGCAAACGGCTTATCCAGGGACATACAACAAATGTTGTTGTCACACTCACAACATTTTTTATATCAGAATTGAAGACACGCTTCATTGTAAATGCATGAGGCTAGAAACATGGGTAGAAGTTTTCCCCTTGGTAATTCGTCATTAATTCATCATACATTATTTTTACATTCGGCAAGACTGTGAGATGAGTTAAGTTTACATACGAAAATACCAAGAGTATGTTCCAGATCTGTGACACCCTGTAGCGTGAAGTAACCGTGGTAAGCTTGTGCTATGCAGGACAGCGTTACCAGCTACAGAAGTGGCGTTTACAACTGTTCTCTGTTCATGTGAAGGAAACTTTTTACCAACCCCGAAAACAAAATTATCACATACTGCGTTGTAAAATTGAAGAAAATAAGCTTATTCTGAACCTGAATATTATAATACACTTTCCTAGAGGAAGCAATAAATTTCACTGATCACAGTAATATAAGGTTCAACTGTTTCCAAAATGGCGGTATTTTTAGATTCAGATATTCACATAATATGTTAAAAATTATATGTAAAAAAAGATATACATAAACTTTTACCGTGTTTTACTATATCTATTCGCCGGACAATTAAGCAAAAAATATGTAAATTATACCAACATTGAGTGAAATCATAGTTGACCCCCTTGTACATTTCAACATTACTGCAATAGGTTTACACTTTTGATGTTTAACACACATATCGTAAACATACCTTTCCCTACACCTAACACTGCACTATCAGGTTGGGTTCACATAATTTACAGTCAATGCAGGATATTGTTATTTCTGTTTTAATGATCGGGGTATCAAAAGACTGTAAGTCGGTGGATGCACTGCAATGTGGATCACGTCTCATTGGGGCTGTCTGGAGACGATGTAGTGAGAGCGGGAGAAAGGAGTTTGTACAGCTCTGCGCTTCAAAGATTTGTGGCTCCTCGCGTGTAGGCGTCTCTTCAGGTGCTTTTGTTGCTGTACTGTTCGCTGTTGTTGCTGTTTTTGTTGTTCTTCTCTCTCTTGGGTTTGTTGCTGCAGGGGGACATAATGTTCTCCTTTGATATGCCCAAGAGTTATAGTTACAGAAGACTGACCTATGTTCGGCTGATAGATATGTTGAGTTTCGACGTTATTGCTGGGGTCTAGAGAAACCACATGGATAGTTGCAGATAAGTGTTCAGCAAGTCCCTTCACTACACGGTCGTCACTCACATCCTTGTGCTGCTGTGCGAGGTCGATCAAGAATGAGTCATCCAGAGTTGCTTTCAGTTCACTCGAACATTTCTGAAATAATAAAACAGTTCATAGATCTATACAGTACAGCTGCATCAAAAACCCTTTAATTTTTATTCTAATATATCGATTATGGCAAACTTGAGATTTTTTCTATTACTTTTATCATGTACAATAGTTTTCTAATGCGTATCAGATAAATCAATATATTTAAAACTGGTGTTGTGTCATATTCTGAGGCGATGAAATAATAACAGTTCTAACTTAACTCCTTAGACTCACTCTGTCAAAAAGTTACTGTGGAGTATTTGGTTACACTGATGAACGTTTATCTCTAGTTTCTATACTGGTAATAAAAAACACACTGTAGAAAATTGTTTACGAAATATATCCCAGCCTACCATTTTGTAAGCTACACAATATAGAATGTATATCTGTATAACTGGCAGACATGATGTTATAATAATCTATATTTTACGGTAAAATTGAAGTCCAATTGCTGGTAATTTACTGAAACTGCTGGAATTACTTGGCGAAAATCACTAAAGCGACGTCCGAAGCCGGTGATGTTCAACCAAATATGATAAAAAATAAATTCGTTACTTTTGTACTTCTTTTTGTTAAAAAAATCAATAATGAAATGCATGACAGTATGTACAAAATGGCTAAATCTCTTAGTTACACTATTAGTAGCATAGCCATGTACATCTAGTATTCTGTTAAAAACACAAAGCTAAATAACCTTTGTTACCTGACTGACAAAATAATCTACGAGGGCAGCACGCAGTGATCCAGCCTCTGGGGCAGAGGTTGGTATGAGACGCATGATGGAGTGAAAGAGACAGTCGCCGTCGTAGGGAACCGCTGAGTGGAGGACTAACTCTCTTTCTTTAGTCTTCATCAGCAGGGCTGCTAGATGTTGTTCTCTCTTTTTTCTTTCACTTTCTGCACTTTCAATCGATTCATCGACTGAGTCCATATCTCACTGAAAATAGATTAACAAATGTGAAGGTTACAAGTAACAAACATACACACTATTCCCTACCCTACCCTGCAGTTCAGACATTGTTCCAATAATTTTCATTGGGGGTACTGAAGAGCCTGAAAGGTAGGATTAGAGTCCTCTTTGATGACGGGATAAAGATCCATGATCTGAAATGTTTCTGGCAGAGGGACAAATCATTCAATCTTGTAGACACATTGGGGGGTCAAAATGTTATTTAGTACTGAAAGGTTTAGGGCAGAAATAAGATAAGTTTGATATCCCTTCGGTATCTTTGTACCTCTGAATGTTTTGCATCTTCCTGGTGTGTGAGTGCCTGCGTAAGCTTGTGTGCGTGTGTGTCTAAATATTCACACTCCTGGGTACATACAGTATTTATAAAATCATTTCACTTCTGGATGATTAAATGCCTCCTCAAAGACTTTCATAATCTCTAGTCATCTCCTCTTCCTGCCCCTTGAACTTTCAAGTTCCTATTACAATTTATCTATCAGTCAGCCGATCTTTTTCGCGAAAGATCCGCCCGTCAATCTTTGGTTCAGTATTGATTTGATCTTCCTGTAGTCTAGCCAGTCACAGCCACGTCAGTTCCTTAATCACTGTGATAATATTCTCTAACCACTTATCAATTTTCCTGCCCCTGTTGGTTAATTATGTTAATGCTTTTATGAATTATGTACACTTATAAATGGTAAACAAAACTTCAATATGTGTATGATATGGGTATAAGAAATATCATCTGGATAATCACAAATAGTATTTACACCAACCTAATTAATTTATATTACATCTGGTTAATATAAAGTAGGAGGTAGAACAATGATGACTAAAATTGTAAAGTTCAGTATTCCTGTTTTGCTAGAGCGTGACGTTAGATTGTATCGGAAGATTATCCCTAGGGTCCGGTAAATTTTACGACGATAACATCTTCCTTAGTATCGTTGTAATCTACGTACAGTTTCTATTACTTTAATTCACTTAATATATCCTATAAAACATTGCACGTTTCGAGAAAATAAAAGGAAATTTATAGAGAAATTATCGCTTTGACGCAGCTATCTCCAGGGTTCATGACATAAAACTATAGAATACAAAACAAAATATATATCATAATATCATTCATGTTAATGACATACAAACACCCATATAAATAGATCTATATAAAGCTCACTAATTAAAAATACCTGTTGGCTGCTGCTCACGTGATCATGCAGGATGTTAGGAGTCAACTCTGGCCTTCACAGTTCTCGTCAGATAACTATTGTAATATTTAAGAGATATGTGGATACTTGACAGCGAATTAGGATATCGTTACACTCATTTGAAAAATACTTGTTCCAGCACGATTGTCTTGTGCGCTATGTTTAAGGTTTGTCGTCACGGGATACAATCAATAATGTTTTTGAAATTGAGTTCTTATTGTTGTTTTAATATGTTTAGCTGCTTCATCTGTCAGTCATTAAAAACGTTCAATCCCACAGTTTTTACGCTAGAAAATATGATTATTAATAAAGAAACGTTCTTTTATGTCAGTGCGGCACTCGAGAGGTGAGTAAGTTCAATTGCTGACTGGCCTCCAAGCAACGTCAACAACCTTCGCGCTGCCTCACGCCTGCGTACTGTACCTGGCTACTGAAGAACATTTTCAGATCGTATATCTGACATACTTTCAGATTATCACGAATAAGTATTCTAAGACCAAGAATGAACGTAGTGAATACCACTGCCTTATAGCCGATAATTTAAAGTATATCTACAAGAAGTTAATTGTAATGGTTGATTGTTAAAAATATTCACATTAAACCAAATCTATGCGATAAATACTGGTTTTATTCTGGCATCACATAATATTTACACTTTAATTACTAATCACTTAGGCACATGACTGTTAGCAATGCTGTGTAAAAAGTATGACAGTAGACTACATTGTTTATAGAGATCCTGATCGATTCTACAGTACAATGTTGACATCACGTGCCTGTAGTGTGGTCCCTGTCGTGGTCGGTAGATTAAAAAATCCGAGCTGGAATCACAATGATACTCACCGTGAAAGTCATCATTATTATTATTTACTCATCTAAAGTCGTTCCATGTGGAGTGATAAGGTTGGGATCAAAAGATAATCCATGGAATTGATTTATTTGTTTAAAAAATATCGAATAATATCTCTAGGTAGTTTAACTTGTACTGTATGTCTATGTATTAAACAGGACCTCACTGAAATACTTGATTAGTTTATTGTAATGTGAAGTGGTCCGTAAACAAACTCTAATTTAATATGTGATTTATCTTGCAATCAGTCTGTGGAATTATTGTTTATTATTTGGTTTCTTGCTTAATGAAATCTCGAGGTGAAATTTATGAATTACTTTAGTTTATCCTAAAAATTCATTTTCTCTAATATAAGTATAAACAAAAACTTTTAACGTTTAGGTAACTTAGCTAAATATCCAATAACTTTACCTATTGTTGCCTTTATTTTTTCGACCCTCGGCATTCATTTAGGACTAATGAACTTACGTAAGAACAATACAAAATTTGCACATGTATTCCATAAGTTAAACATATGTATGGAAATAGATTTATGAAGCAGAGTAAGACTTGACTCTCTGGGTGCGTGTCTAAGGCCTGTGACACGACCAAAGTGAAATTTTCCCAGTCAATCAAAGCTCAGTGAGTGCGCAACGTGTTTCCGCGCAATCACAACTAGGCATCGGGCGTACACTATGTTCCCAGCTGATCAAAGCAAAGCGCCTTCTCCCCACATATTATATTCTGAATCTGTTAAATTTTTTTGTGGTGGAATTCTAGCGTGAGACCAGCATGTGGGAGACTGTTCAGTTATGCCGGATTGATCTTCAGTTCAAAAAAGGCTCGATTTAGTAAAAACAAATCTTTAAAATCAGCTTATGTTAAGGTTAAATAAGAGACACTGAATATGGAACATGATATGATAATTACGTTACGCTTAAAATCATGGATTTACATTATTCATTACAGTGTCTGTACCCTACAGGCCATGGGCAACAGCCAAGAGAATCAGAATTGTCTACTTTGTGTATGGTTTAATTTTTCCAGTCGATGTCGCCATAGTTTAAGTTTTTTGCGTTGCCACTTATGGTTCTAAGTTCCTTTGGTTTAATAAGCTACACTTCGGGGATCTTTAGATACATCCAACAATGAGTAAGTCTCTTCTCTTTAGTTTAAATTCTAAACCACTTCGATTCTCCAAAACCATCCTTCCCCAGCAGTCTCACATGGCTGGCTTTAAGGTTTTGTCTAACATAACCACACCCTTGACATATTGGTGAGATACGCGCGTTACCGCAGTACCACCAACACCCCGTGAGCCAACCTGATTTGCCATTGCTTATATGCGTGTACTTTTTTATATATATGATGATTTATTGTTAATATGCATAATATACATGAAGTTTTTTTTTGTTAAATAGCTTACCTTCTACTCCTTGTTATAAATGTTTTTACTTTTAGGTTAGGTATCTCTTAAAATAATTTGGTTCTCTATTTTAGCGAAACATAGAAAACATATAGGGGCGACTTATATATTCTGATATAGCAAGAGGTAGAGGTGAAATTTACCTTCCTACCTAATTTACTTAAGGTCTACCTCGATTAGAGGTGGTCATATCGAGAGAAGGCAGCTAATAGCCTCTATACAGTAGGATCCTTCCATGGTTCTTGATACTTTTGTCAATGGATATTTCGAAACCCAGCTCTTTTCTCGCTTCCATGGCTTAAACTTCTAGACTGTACCTTAGGTTTGCCAAATATTGCGTGAAAAAATAATTATTTATATTCTTCCTGCATGGCACTTTGGCAAGCTGGCGGCGCGTAACATCTTGGAAATTTGATCTGGGTTTTACGTCTTCTATTGCTTTTAAGATTTTAAATGTCTGTAGACTGAAAAATTATCCACCCTAATCTCTCGGTATACTTGGATAATCGAGACGATTTAGTTCAGGAGTAATCTTAGTCACCTTGCTGCATCTTTTCTTGGAGATGTGATGTATTTCTGGAGCTAAAGACTCCATTCCTGTGTACAATAGTCCAGAGAAGGTCGTATAAGAGACGTATAAAGTTGAAGAAGCATTATATTTCTTTGTATTTGAAGATAAGACTAATAATACCTAACTTCTAATTGGCTTTTGTCTCTGCAGCCTCACGTGTTGCGTCGTCTTCATTGAGTGATCTATCTCTTACATTTTGCTATTTTGTAAACCATTTGCCAGTCCTGTCATGTCTCTGATACGCACTTTCGGCAAGTACTGGGTAGACAGTTGCTCCAGAATGTATCTGAACCTGTGCCAGTGTTGGTCAAGCCTGGCCATTGGAAGTTTATATTTAAACAACTAAATGGTGTCAGCGGGACTCGTATGTTAATTAGTGTTTATGAATCAGGACGCAAAAAAAAAAAACGGTAAAATAAAAATACGAAAACTTCAATTGGTCGTCACTATTTGTGATTTTTTCGAGGTAAGGAATAAGTTGTCTTCAATATTTTGAAGTTAAACAACGTTGGGTCTGGTTAGTACCTGGGTAGGTGACCGCCTGGTCTTAAGAACACCAGATGCTGCTGGTTTAGGAACTCTACTGGAAACAAGCCTCTCATGCCTTTGTCATCTGTTCTTGGTCAAATTGATTGAATATAAATTATTATTATTAATATTTGGAGGAGATGCGGTAAGAGATGAGGGTGACGGAAGAAAAGTTGGCCGGGAGCACAGAGGGAGTAATGGGGGGTGATCAAAAATGGGGTTGAGTTAAGTTGAGGGAAGGGATGTCGGGGAGATAGATTATAGCTGATAATGGGACAGATATTGTCTGGTACGGGGCGGTGACGAGAAGACAGTGGGGTAAAAGAGAGGGTGAAGTTAAGGGGAGGAGAGAGATATTTACCTCGTTAAAAGGTGGCGGAAAGAGGTTCGAAGGTCAATTAGTTAGTGAGGAGTAGGGTGATGACAGTACACACCTCACCCTTGTCAAGTGTGTGTTTCACGCCTGGGAGTTTTGAAGAGGAAATACGGCTACGTGTTGACACGCACGCATGCTCCACGCTTGCACGCACGCACATGCATACACTATAACACACACACACACACACACATGTTGTTTCACTCATGAGTTAAACTCATTGCATTGCATTTATTGTTTATTAACGTGTGAGTTGTGATAAAAGAAACTCCGGAAGGAAGATCGCAGCTGAGAACAACCTGGAACAACGCAAGAATGTGGTATGACCAGTCGACGGCATCACTCCACACACTTGTTAAGTTTACCTGAACGAGGAACTGGACCGCTCTTCAGGGACTTGATCAACCGAGTCTGTCCCGCATCAGGTGCATCAAGAAGTAATTACAGCAGACTATTATTGTCTGCCAAGAGCTGAATACGAGCAGGAAAAAACCCTTCGGCTAATTGGATATTTTTGTTGCCGAAGCCATCCAATTAGTTTGCCAAGACCTTCTAATTACATGGTGGAGAAGCGTGGCCTGGAGCACCCTACTCCGATGCTTCATTCACCTGCTTATAACTAACTACCTTCACTACGTTATAGCATATACATGTTGTATTTAGCAGGGGCCACTTCAGACTTCAGGGAGATGTCTGTCTGTCTGTCTGTCTGTCTGTCTAGTTTACAATTGTTTCGCCCCTTGCCCGTGGGGTGAGGGGATTGTGTGGAGGGGAGGTGTGGGAGAGTGTTGGAGATGATGTGACTGTGGTGTGAGGATGTTGGGGTGTAGGGGTCAGTAACTGGTCTGTAAGTCTTCATGTATGGTCATCGCACGTGAGTGGTCGTGAGAGCTAGAGTAAAATAACACTGTCAGGTATGAACAGGTATATATTGTATGTGCTAAGCCGGTAGGCAACATTGGCTGAGGTGATATATACTACTCTGTTAAGTCTATTAAGAAAAGATCAAGAGTGTTTTGACCGTGTCTGGGAAAGTTCACAGCTTGTGAGAGATGCAGCTGCTCCTGAAGATCTGTGGTGTCATTTCATTAAATCACCACAAAGCGTGTCTGATACCTGGTTATCTACCTCCGAGGGTCTCGGAGGTGGTAATGAGACTGTTAATTAGATTTCCACTGGTGGGGTAGCGAGGCGGCTGATGCACCACAGTAGATAATGAAGGCAATGTAGCGAGGATTAGTGTGGAACATTACACTAACCACGCCAGCTGGAACCTCAGCGTTAAGGTTGGACGGATGTTTGTCGTTGTGACAGAGCGGTACTTCTACACCCCCGCCACGTCCACTCGGGAACAAGCTGTGTGTGTGTGTGTGTGTGTGTGTGTGTGTGTGTGTGTGTGTGTGTTGCGGAAGAGATGATCGTCTGATTAAGCTTTAAACCACAAGAAACGTGTTACTAAATGTGAGTAACTCTGTTGTAATTCTATAAAAGTTTTATTTTATATATAGTAAAATTTGCTGTTCATGTACGATAGCATTTTTATCATACCATAACCAAACTCCTGGAGACCTAAATAAGGTTAAGAATAATCCTAAACATTTTTATTATTATCTGTATCAGAG